GTGCAAAGCAAACAATTTTAACAGTTGTTCTAGCAGGAAACGAAATCCTGCTTCAACAGCCTTAAACCGAGTTAACAAGGCCTATGATGCCCTATTAATGTTAATAAGGTTTTAAGAATAAAGAATAACAACCTTAAAATGCCATTTAAAAAGTTTTATTTCTTTTGGTAACCGTTATATCTGCTTGGAGTATGGGGTGGCACTGTTTTCTGTCAGCGTTAGCGTTGAGGCCATCGTAGCCCTTTTAAACTCAGTTTATGGCTTTTGAAGCTGGATTCTTTCTTCTGTGCCCGTTGTGCGGCTCCTGGGCCTTCTGTTGCACTATTAATATTAATACCGTAATAAGACGTTTAATAATAAAGATATAACAATGTTTAATTTTTAAATGCCATTTTTTGCGGCTGCTATACCCGCTTGGACCACAGGATGGCACTGTTCGTCTTTTGAAGCAGGATTCCTCCTTCTGTGTCTATGTTGCAGCCCCTGGGCCTCCTGTGGCTCTCTTAAGGTTAATAAGGCGTCTAATAATAAAGATGCAGAATAATAAACTTGAAATCCCACCATGCCGAATAGGTCGCTGAGAAAGGAAGCTGGGGGAATAACTGGGAGGAACGGACAGGAAGTCAGCCATAATGGGAAGGTCGTCTTCCAAAGGCACTGGGAACGTCCTGGAAAGGCTGCTGCGAAAGGAAGTTGGAAGGGGACGCCGCCAAAGGGCAGAGAGCCTCTATTTCCACGCGCGCATACATCCAGGTCAGGCTCCATTTCCACTTGCAGACACCCATCTCAGGTTTCATTCGCACATGCGTGCAAACCCAGGTCGGGCTCCATTTGCACGTGCGCACATCCAGGTCATACTCCATTCATGTGCGCACACCCAGGTCATACTTTCCAGACCATTTTTCTTTTAATGTGAGGCTGTCCTTTATGTCTCTTTCTTAAAATTCTACCCAACAAAGCCAACCTCCTCTTCAAAGAAGGGAAAACACACGCCAAACATCCCTCCCCCCCCCCCCCCCCCGCTCTTCGGATAGGTCCGTGTCAGGTCCAAATGGCACCTGGTGATTCTTCCACGCTGAGTTCTCTGTTCTTTTACCCCTATAGACAAAATCTTGCCAGACTGAGGACCCCACTATCTGCATCTCCAGTATACTCTGGGAACTATTAGAACTATCCTCTGCCTGAAGAAAGTAAAAAAGCCAGCCTAAAATCAACCCTGGAAAGATTTGGAAACCGCTGCTCCAAATATTGTTTCTAGTTGGTGATAGTTTGGGCAATACTAATATTAATTTATTTATTTAAGATAGATATGTTCTGGCCCAATTCATATAATTATAAATCAGCAAGTAATTGCTGGCATGAATGAGTACCAAATCATGTATCAAGCAGCACTGATAAAACTCTGTTGTTGCTAGTTGTGAAGTTGTGTCTGACCCATAGCGACCCCATGGACAATGTTCCTCCAGGCCTTCCTGTCCTCTACCATCCCCTGGAGTCCACTTAAGCTCACACCTTCTGCTTCTGTGACTCCATCCAGCCACTTCATTCTCTGCCGTCCCCCCCTTCTTTTGCCCTCCATCTTTCCCAGCATGAGGTTCTTCTCCAGGGAGTCCTTCCTTCTCATTAGGTGGCCAAAGTATTTGAGTTTCATCTTCAGTATCTGGCTTTCTAAAGAGCAGTCAGGGTTGATCTCCTCTAGGACTGACCAGTTTGATCGCCTTGCAGTCCAAGGGAGAAGGAGTCTTCTCCAGCACCAGAGTTCAAAGGCCTCCATTCTTTGGCGCTCAGCCTTCCTTATGTTTCACCATTCGCAGCCATCCATTGCAACTGGGAAAACCAGAGCCTTGACTAGACACACTTTTATTGGCAGGGTGATGTCTCTGCTTTTTAGTCTGCTGTCTAGATTTGCCATAGCTTTCCTCCCCAGGAGCAAGAGTCTTTTAATGTATTGGCTGAAGCCCCCCATCTTTTATCATATCCCATGATAAAGCTCATACATCTCTACAAATACCAAGCTGTACAATGCACCCACTCATTAGTCAAGTGATGCTTCCAGAGGAGACGTTGAGACAACTTAGGAGAATTTGACCCCAGTAATTTCTCTGGAGCACATGTGAAGGCAGGAATACAAAAGGTACAATCAACTGAGTCTATGCCCACCGACCAATGATTGCATTCAGAAGTTTTTCATGCAATTTCAGAGGACTGCAAAATAAATTGTACAGTCATCTGAAGCATGCCATGTGTGCATGCAGGTTCAAAAGGGACTGAAGATACTGAGAATGAGGCACAAGATTAGTGTTTTCCAACTTTGGGCACTTGAGGATGTGAGGACTTCAACTCCCAGAATTCCCCAGCCAACCCGGCTGGGAGTTGAAGTCCTCACATTTTAAGTACCCAAAGTTGGGAAACACTGCATGAGATGTATACATAAATCAGGCTTCAACGCTCCAGTCTCTGGATGTACCATTTTGGGGGATCAGAGTTCAGAATTTCTTTGTAGGAATGATTTTCTCCTCCCCCCACCACTCCTCTTATAAAAACATAAAGGTTCCCCTCACACATATGTGCTAGTTGTTCCTGACTCTAGGGGGTGGTGCTCATCTCTGTTTCACAGCCGAAGAGCCACCGCTGTCCGAAGATGTCTCTGTGGTCATGTGGCCGGCATGACTAAATGCCGAAGGCGCACGAAACGCTGTTACCTTCCCACCAAAGGTGATCCCTATTTTTCTACTTGCATTTTTACATACTTTCGAACTGCTAGGTTAACAGAAGCTGGGACAAGTAACGGGAGCTCACTCCATTACACAGCACTAGGGATTCAAACCACCGAACTGCCGAACTTTCTGATCGACAAGCTCAGCGTCTTAAGCCACTGAGCCACCGCATCGCCCTCCTGTAAGGTTGTTTTAAACTTAATTTGTTTCTGTCACTTATTTGCAAATCAACAAATGTTAGAATTTTCTTCTAAAAAAAACCAAGAATGAATGAATTTCTCCCCATCTACCCAGATAAAGGTCTTCAATAAAGATCTTGGGTCTTTCGCCAAATTTAGTTGGCAACCTGGACTGAGCACCAGAAACGGGGATGAATGCCTAAGAACATCCCTCTGAGACCCTGCAGTCTGCCTCTTGTGTTTCCTTTTCCTTTCATTCTGATCTTGAAAAGATTTGGTTCCATTTCAATTGTGAATCCGTTTCCAAAATGAATGGATCAGAAGCCTTAAGCATATCCGGGTCTATGGTTCAATCTGAGCATTGGGCTGAGGTCCAGGACTCCTTTAGTTGTGGGACGGTGTCCTCTCGGCTCTTGAAATCTGGATGGAAACCAGGTTCTGATCAGGTATCTAACAACTGTACAATGAAGATGTGAACCAGCCCATAATGGTGCCATCTCAACGCTACTAAACGAATGTCTAATTAGAATTCTTCCTTTATTCTCACTTTTACAATTTACAATTGTTTTCTCCGCTTTCCGCAATGCCAGTAATCCCAGGGCAGTGATGGATAACCTTTTGGTCGTCGTATGCCAAAAGCGTGTGCACCAGCGCCCACTCGCACCCATAATGCAATGTGCGCACAGCACACCCTGCGCGCCATCCCCTGTGCACGCACGTGCAACCACCCTGCACCCCATTTTGGGCCTAGTAGACCTCCCTGAAACCCCCTGGGACCAAAAATGAGCCGGGGGGGCATACCGAACCCCCTGTGCTCCCCACCCTCTGTGCCTGCACACACACACATACACACCTGCGCATGCATGTACATTGCCTGCATGCGCACCACCTCTTGTGCATGCATGGCAGAGACCTGAAAATCAGCTGGTTGTAGAGAGGCGCGCATGCCATGCGTGGTAAAACTGATCTAAAGCCACGGCTTTCATGCCCGCATAGGTTCATCATCATGGTCCTGGGGCTGTGAATTGGAACCTATGGCATGCATGCCACAAGTGGCATGCAGAGCCCTCTTGCGGACACCCCAGCCCATCTTCACCGCGCATGCAGGCACACCTCCTGCCAGCCAGCTAGTCTTTGGGTCTCTATCAAGCATGCACAGGGTACATGTGAGGGATGCATGCTCACATTGCATTTTGGGGGGTTGCGCGCATGCATGTTTTCCCCCACCCCGGTTTTGGGCCTGGATAGCTACCTGCACCAACCTGGAAGCCAAAACTGAGCAAGGAGGTGCATGCATATGGGGTTTCGGGCATGCGCTTTGGGCCCTTGGCACCAAAAACGTTAACCATCACTGTCCTATGGGTTGCATTCCCAACTCTGGTGGAGAGTTCCTAGGTTAGGAAACAAACACGATCCCTAAACCCCAATTCTTCCGCTTCTTTTAGTTTAGTTTATCCTCGTTGGCCTTTTCGGTGGGAAGTCCTGTTTTGGTTGAGTTAATCAGGAGTTCTCCTGAAAGAAGGGCTGCTGAGGCATGAAAGGAGCTCAAAGCAAGGGAATTCCACAATCCATGGTTTGAAACCTGCTTCAAAGGAATGCTTGTTGCCCTGCCCTCTTGAAGAACCTTCTCTGTGCCTGTTGCTTCTCCCCAACCATGTTGAACAGGCAGAAACTGTCCTTGGCTAATCTCATGGAACGGTGACTTGCCTAAAGAATGAAGGCATGCAGGAGATCCAGGTCTCAGGTTGCACTGTAGCATCAGATAGGGAATAAGCTGATGTAAGATGGATGGAAACTGTTGACCAGAGGATTTTCAACAGAGTATCCAGTCTGGATTTATTTACTTATTTATTTATCCAGTGTATTGACTGACCATAACTCTTGGGGACTCTACCTGAGGTTACCTGTCCTGTCTTTCAGGGAATAAGGATCTGGGAATCGGGGGTGAAATTCAGGAGGTTCTGACCGGTTCTGGAGAACCGGTAGCAGAAATTTTGAGGAGTTTGGAGAAGTGGCAAATCCCACCTCTGACTGGCCCCACCCCCATCTATTCTCTGCCTCCCGAGTCCCAGCTGATCGGGAGGGAATGTGGATTTGGCAGTATCCTTCCCCTGCCATGCCCACCAAGCCACGCCCACAGAACCGGTAGTAAATCAAAAATTGAATTTCATCACTGCTGGGAATCAATCTGAGGCTTGGGATACCGGAAACCTTAAAATGAAGAGTGGATATCATAGGCAGAAGGACTTACGAGTAAAATTTCTTAGTGAATTTTCAGAAAATGATTGCTGAATCCTATTCTGGGCTATTTTTACTACTGCCTGGCTTAGAAACTCCCAAGGCCTCTTCCGTTCTTTGCTAAAGATCATGCTTTTGACTACGCATCAGTTTGAAGCTTTCATCCAATATAGACCGCTTGTTGCGTCTCAACCTCCTTTGTCTCTTGAGGTGGACGATCACACCAAGAAGAACACTGGCCGTGATGAAGAGCACCACTCCAGCAACCGCAAGAGTCACAATGGCTGCTTCTACATGTCCCTGGACTAGCCTTGAGCCAAACAAAACGATCTCATGGGAGATTTTCTCTTCAGAAGCTTCCACATGCTCCTCTTCAGAAGGACCCACAGGTGCCTCTTCGGCAGTTTCTGCTGGAAGTCAAAGAAATTGTGGAAAAGTCAAACTACAGACCAAGAGGAATTCAATAACCTAAGCCATTGAAAACTGGAGAACAACAGCGATAATCGTGTAATAGCAATAATTCAAGTAAATTAAAAAAAACTCTCTACGATTGGAAAACTAAATGAGGAACAGGGCTAAACTGGAAATCCCGTGAAATCATTTAGAATTGGGGATTGTGCCAAGCTGACTGAACAGAATCTCTTCCAGTTGTGTCATTCTTGAGCTTAAACCTGGCGTCAACTCTCCCGCGTCATGGTAGAAGGGGGAGGGAGTACATTCCACGCATACTGTTGGCTGAAGTTGGATCTCAGATTACTGCAGCTGGCTTGGGAGGGGTGCCTCTTACAGGGGAATGTGATCATGACACAGACTGAGGGGAGGGAAGGAACGGGGTAAAGTTCAGAAGAAAAATCAAACAAAGCACAGGCTTGACTGCGAACAGATATTGCCTAATGGATCACCCAATAAATCACTGGTTTTGTACTAAAACCTTGACTTGATAATTAGGGCATCGTTAGGACATTTGACACCTGGATTCATACATTACACTAGTGCTTGATTTTCCTGAAATTGGCAAACCAAAGCCAAGGACTGAGCTAGCATGTTTGTGTAGGATTCAAGTACAGCATGGTTGAGCATGATGTTTAACTGCACTTCAGGCAAAATGCCATAGTGGCGTCCCAGCAGTTTCACCTAAACCAAAATCTGAAAATCATGGGTAAGAGGCCACCTTGCTAGCATAAGCTATGATTAAATAAGAGTTCACCAGGTAATATTCAGAAGAGAATTTCCAGAAGATAGAGGAAAATTGCTGGAGGTTGTGCCAAGTTGGACTCCTGATTTGTAAGAGATTAGCAATATTTCAGGAAAATTCCAGAGGGTGACTATTTGGGACCACAGGACAAGAACAATGGGAGTGAGAAAAGATTTCAAACTTGGAATATCTCTATCAATCATGCTATCTGAAAAAGATAAACAGAATAACAGAGTCGGAAGGGACCTTGGAGGTCTTCTAGTCCAACCCCCTGCTTAGGCAGGAAACCTTATACCATTTCAAACAAATGGTTATCCAACATCTTCTTTAAAACCTCCAGGGTTGAAGCATTCACAACTTCTGGAGACAAGTTGTCGCACTGATTAATTGTTTTCACTGTCAGGAAATTTCTCCTTATTTCTAGGCAGGGGTGGGATTCAGCTCGCTTGGACTGGTTCGGTTGAAACAGATGCTAATTTTACATCAGATTCGCCAAACCGGTAGTTGCAAGGACTGGCTGGCCCTGCCCATTCACTCCCACCCCTCCCAGGAGTCTCCACACAGCCCATTTTGGCTGTCAGGTAAGTGCAGGGCCCATGCAGAGACTCTGGGAGGGCGAAAAACGGGCCTTCCAGAAGTCCGGAAACATGCCTGTTTCTGGCCTCCAGAGCCTGGGGGAGGCCATTTTCACCCTCCTGGAGGCCCGAGGAAAGCCTCCAGAGCCTGGGGAGGATGGAACCCCCCCATAGTGCAGGAGGCTGAGTAGGCCATGCCCACCATAGCCACGCCCACCCAGCAACCAGGCGGAGAATTGGTTGCTAAAAATTTTGAATCCCACCCCTGGTTCTAGGTTGCTTCTCTCCTTGATTAGTTTCCACCCATTGCCTCTTGTTCTGCCCTCAAGTGCTTTGGAGAATAGTTTGACTCTCTCTTCTTTGTGGCAGCCCCTGAGAGATTAGAACACTGCTATCATGTCACCCCTGGTCCTTCTTTTCATTAAAGATATCTGAAAAATATGGAAAGAAAACACAGTACCTGTAATTTTGAATGTATGGTATCTGCACTTTTCTGCATCTGAAAAAAAAAAGGCAGAATCAGGACTGTTTTGCGAAGCCCAGAGGGAGATGGAGGACACCCAAAGCAGCACAAGGAATCCATTCATGGAATCCAGCTTTTACAAAGAGGAGTCCATCCAGATCTTCTTTTCCCTTAGCATCACGATGTTCAGCCCTGTTTCAAGCAAACAGGCCTATGTGCCCATCCCCAGAGCTCCTTGGGGCTGCTGGATTAGCGACCACATTTGAACTTTTGAATGGCTTCTTTAGAGAAGTCCAGACCCTGATTCCCAATTGTCTACATTCTTCACAGTTCACCGCTAAGTGAGCACATCTGCTACACCATTAGCTTTTCTGGTCCTTCCAGCTGCTGTTTTCTACTGATCCATCGCTTATCCTGAAGCTTGGTTCCACCACAAATGCGCGAACGACAAAAGCGCGC